TATATGTAATTCTGTTTACAATCGAAAAATGGCTATAATTAGGCATTACGGATCCTGGGAACTGTCCCGTAAACAGGCGGTAACCGTTCAGGAGGTCCAGCTCTTTTGTCGTATACAAAAAGAAGTATAACCGAGAACTGTGTCTGAAATGCAAAAATTGGCTTCCTGGTTAAATTACGGTCGAAATGAGGCAATTACGCTGATTGGGTTTTAGCTGTACAGTCCATGCAAGAAAAAATATGTACACGGAGAGAGAGAGAGAGAGAGAGAGAGAGAGAGAGAGAGAGAGAGAGAGAGAGAGAGAGAGAGAGAGAGAGAGAGAGAGAGAGAGAGAGAGAGAGAGAGAGGAGAGAGAGAGAGAGAGAGAGAGAGAGAGAGAGAGAGAGAGAGAGAGAGAGAGAGAGAGAGAGAGAGAGAGAGAGAGAGAGAGAGAGAGAGAGAGCAAGAAGAGGTTATCACGACCCCAAGCAATGATCAACGGTCCTTCCACCATTAGCGTACCTTCCTACTCCTCGGAGAAGCGTCTGCTAATTAAGATAACTTTAATAGAAGAGTGTAATTGTCTTATCGGTCGGCTTCACATATCCATCCACTTGTACTGGTGGGTGCAGCTCCGGCTTCCCTTCTCGCTGGGTCGGCGTTCTATCTCCGACCGTCCAGGTGTTAGGGAAGCATTTCTTCACACGCCACAAGAAAAAAGAATCAAAGAAAACAGCTGAAGGCCTACCGGCAAATACAAGGTAGCATCTATTTATATACATTCAAATTCAATGTCTAACCTACGCTTGAAACAGTCCATCGATTCCACGTTTGTTACGTTACCGAGTAATTTTGGTCCATAATTCAACAACCATGTTCCCAAACATCGTTACTACGATGTTTTCAAACGTTACTACGTTCTTTCAAACGTTACTACGTTCTTTCAAACGTTACTACGTTCTTTCAAACGTTACTACGTTCTTTCAAACGTTGCTTTCAAGAAACGAAATAAAAATAACGTTGTACTCACCTAGTTGTGCTTGTGTGGGGGTGGGGGGTTACCTTTCGGCTCTCTGGTCCCGCCTCTTAACCATCGACCACCGCTGTGGTTAGGTTGTGTGTTTGAGGGGAAACAACGACTACCCATCCCATTAGAGGGGCACCCTCGCCTCTCTATTCCACCCCCTACCCTTCCACCCCCCCCCCATCTATTAGTCGTACTTACGGCCCACGTGCAACTTCCTTTCTAGCGACAAAAACAAGTAAAAGCAGCAGCAGCAGCAGCAGCAGCAGCAGCAGCAGTAGCAGTAGCAGCAGCAGCAGCAACAGCAGCAGCAGTAGCAGCAGTAGCAGTAGCAGCAGCAGCAGCATCAGAAGTACGAGCAGGACACAATAGCAACAGCAGCAGCAAGAGAAGCAGCAGTAGCAGCAGCAGCAGCAGCAGCGGCAGCAAGAGCAGCAGCAGCAGCTGCAGCAGCGGCAGCAACAGCAGCAGGAGCAGCAGCAGCAGCAGCAGCAGCAGCAACAGCAGCAGCAGCTGCAGCAGAAGTACGATCAGGACACAATAGCAACAGCAACAGCAGCAGCAGCAGCAGCAACAGCAGCAGCAGCAGAAGTACGAGCAGGACACAATAGCAACAGCAACAGCAGCAGCAGCAGCAACAGCAACAGCAGCAGCAGCAGCAGCAGCAGCAACAGCAGCAGCAGCAGCAGCAACAGCAACAGCAGCAGCAGCAACAGCAGCAGCAGTAGCAGGATCATCACCATCAGCAGCTGCAGCAGGGAACAGTAGCAACAGCAGTAACAGCCTGCAGCTCCCAGCAGCAGCAGCAGCTGTAATAACACGCGCCAGGAGGGAGGTGAAGCTGGTAGATCCGAGCGACAGGGAGCGATTAAAGTGTAAATGCTAATAAGGTTTGTAATAGAGTGTGGAGACAGACGGCTGATGCGGGGGATCTGACACCCAATGGAGGGTTCAACCCGCCAGCATCACCTTAAACACTCTCCTGGATCTCCTGATGCTCATCTTCGTCTCCAGAGGGATGCTGGAGGAGGTATGCAAATGTGATCGTCTTGTCTGTTGATGATTTGAAATAGATTTTGTAGCGATGGTCTAGTATATGGGAGCTGTTAGGTGTGTAAATACACCCATATTATACATTTGAAGGAATGATCCAATACACTGATGTACACCTACACTTCCAGTGTCCCGAGGTACACATACACACACACACACGCACACACACACACACACACACACACACACACACACACACACACACACACACACACACACACACACACACACACACACACACACACACACACAGCTTCACACAGTCTATTTAACACAAGGGGAACACGCACAAGGGGACACAGGTGGAAACTGAGTGCCCAAATGAGCCACAGAGATATTAGAAAGAACTTTTTTAGTGTCAGAGTGGTTGACAAATGGAATGCATTAGGAAGTGATGTGGTGGAGGCTGACTCCATACACAGTTTCAAGTGTAGATATGACAGAGCCGATAGGCTCATGAATCTGTACACCTGTTGATTGACGGTTGAGAGGCGGGACCAAAGAGCCAGAGCTCACCCCCGCAAACACAACTAGGTGAGTACAACTAGGTGAGTACGCTGACTCCATACACAGCTTCAAGTGTAGATATGATAGAGCCCAGTAGGCCCAGGAACCTGTACATTAGTTGATTGACCGTTGAGAGGCGGAACCAAAGAGCCAGAGCTCAACCCCCGCAAGCACAATTAAGTAAGTACAATTAGGTAAATTAGGTAAGTACACACATACACACACACACACATTCCTTAGGCTCAGGAATCTGTACACCAGTTAACTGACAGTTGAGAGGCGGGACCAAAGATCCACAGCTCAATACCCGCAAACACAAATAGGTGAGTACACACATACATACACACTCAACATTCATACGTCCTTTCAATTCAATTAAAACACACTGGCAGTGTTGACATTCTCATAAAAATAAAGCTTTTACATTTTTGAACTAGCCAATTAACTCTGTATATTAACAAATAACACCCGCCACATATTTCAGCACCGGTTACTCTTGTCTATATATCCCAGTTAACTGAATGAGCTCAGTTAACACGAGTTAAGATGAAATATTTAGATCAACAGGTACAAAAAAAAAATCCGTACAATGGTATCGAACTCTCAACCCTCGACATCCGAGTAGCACGTATTACCGTCTGAGCCATGTTGAGCTCATTGACACATCCTTGTGATTTCATTGTGGAAATACTGTAAAGGTTATCGTTTGGGATTTCGAAAATTAAATGGCTCAGGATTTACTACGCATTTTTATATCAATAGTTGTTGAATCTATACGGGAATATTGGTGTCTGAGTAACGGCACTCACACATTGGAGGGAGGATTGGTGTTTTACAAAGTGGGGAGGTGTTTTACAAAGTGGGGAGGTGTTTTACAAAGTGGGGAGGTGTTTTACAAAGTGGGGAGGTGTTTTACAAAGAGGGGAGGTGTTTTACAAAGTGGGGAGGTGTTTTACAAAGTGGGGAGGTGTTTTACAAAGTGGGGAGGTGTTTTACAAAGTGGGGAGGTGTTTTACAAAGAGGGGAGGTGTTTTACAAAGTGGGAGGTGTTTTACAAAGTGGGGAGGTGTTTTACAAAAGTGGGGAGGTGTTTTACAAAGTGGGGAGGTGTTTTACAAAGAGGGGAGGTGTTTTACAAAGTGGGGAGGTGTTTTACAAAGTGGGGAGGTGTTTTACAAAGTGGGAGGTGTTTTACAAAGTGGGGAGGTGTTTTACAAAGTGGGGAGGTGTTTTACAAAGAGGGGAGGTGTTTTACAAAGAGGGGAGGTGTTTTACAGAGAGAGGAAGTGTTTTACAAAGTGAGGAAGTGTTTTACAAGGAGGGGAGGTGTTTTACAAAGAGGGGAGGTGTTTTACAAAGTGAGGAGGTGTTTTACAAAGAGGGGAGGTGTTTTACAGAGAGAGGAGGTGTTTTACAAAGTGAGGAGGTGTTTTACAAAGTGAGGAAGTGTTTTACAAGGAGGGGAGGTGTTTTACAAAGAGGGGAGGTGTTTTACAAGGAGGGGAAGTGTTTTACAAAGAGTGAATGTGTTTTACAAAGAGGGGAGTTGTTTTACAAAGTGGGGACGTGTTTTAGAAGGAGGGAAAGTGTCTTAAAAAGATTGGAGGTGTTTTACAAAGTGTGAGTTGAGGTATTTTTACAAAGCGAAATGAGGCTTATTTTACCAAGAGTGAGGACAGCTATTTTACAAAGTGTGAGGAGAGGTGTTTTACAAAGTGTGAGGAGAGGTGTTTTACAAAGTGTGAGGGGAGGTGTTTTACAAAGTGTGAGGGGAGGTGTTTTACAAAAGGACAGGGGAAGGTATTTTCGAAAGGTTGAAAATAAGATATTTTACAAAGAGTGAGGAACAAAAAAAAGAAAGAGGTATTTCACAAAGTGTGTCGAAGCGCTTCTTTCAAAAGTGCTGAAAGAAGAATGTAATAGAACATCTTCTATTTGACATGAAATAACAAGACTCTACCACTAGTAGATAGGAACCAAATTTCGGTTTCTTAAAGATTATTGAGCTCTAATAGCACTAATTCCCATGAAATAAGCAACTCTAATAGCATTAATTCCCATGAAATAAGCAACTCTATTAGCACTAATTCTCATGAAATAAGCAGCTCTAATAGCACTAATTCTCATGAAATAAGCAACTCTAATAGCACTAATTCTCATGAAATAAGCAGCTCTAATAGCACTAACTCTCATGAAATAAGCAACTCTAATAGCACTAATTCTCATGAAATAAGCAACTCTAATAGCACTAATTCCCATGAAATAAGCAAGTCTAATAGCACTAATTCCCATGAAATAAGCAACTCTAATAGCACTAATTCTCATGAAATAAGCAGCTCTAATATCACTAATTCCCATGAAATAAGGAACTCTAATAGCACTAATTCTCATGAAATAAGCAACTCTATTAGCACTAATTCCCATGAAATAAGCAACTCTATTAGCACTAATTCTCATGAATTAAACAAGTAACACAAACAGATTACGAGGCGGGGAAAAATAAGGCGTTCTTTTAAAAGACAAAAATATTTAAGACAAATAATAAAACTTATTCCATATATTCAATATTAATCTTCAGATTATAATATATAATATAACCAAAAATATTTTTAATCCATTTGCTACTTATAGAGTTAAAGTGTACAGAAAAAAATGGTGATATATGAGAGCTAAAAAAAGAGTCGTATAGGCTCTATACGCTCTTTCCTCCAAGTTGTCTTATCTTGAAAATGTTGAAAATTTGTCTTAACTTTTGAAAGTATCTTCATGAGGTTACTTAGCGGAGGCGCTCAGGTTCTTGAATGAATTCCTTTTAACTTAATTTCCTGTTTTTTTGGTGTTTAACTTGTGTAAGTTATGGCGGCGGTGGTTCAGGAGTCCCGTGTGGTAACAGCCTCCCTCACCTAATTGATTTCTTCATTTTTATGCTGCCTGAGTGGCGGAAATAATGAGATAATTAGAGTGGAGGATGACTGAGGAATGTTGTAGGAGGATCTGAACGTCTTGAAGGAGGATCTGAACGATTTGAAGGGGGATCTGAACGATTTGAAGGAGGATCTGAACGACCTGAAGGAGGATCTGAACGATTTGAAAGAGGATCTGAACGATTTGAAGGAGGATCTGAACGATTTGAAGGAGGATCTGAACGACCTGAAGGAGGATCTGAACGACCTGAAGGAGGATCTGAACGTCTTGAAGGAGGATCTGAACGACCTGAAGGAGGATCTGAACGACTTGAAGGAGGATCTGAACGATTTGAAGGAGGATCTGAACGACTTGAAGGAGGATCTAAACGACCTGAAGCAAGATCTGAACGACTTGAAGGAAGATCTGAACGACCTGAAGCAAGATCTAAACGACCTTAAGGAAGATCTAAACGACCTTAAGCAAGATCTAAACGACCTTAAGCAAGATCTGAACGACCTCAAGCAAGATCTGAACGACCTCAAGCAAGATCTGAACAAGTTACGAGAGCTGGAAGAAAAATCCAACCGTTTTGCCTAACCTAAAACGCACGAACCCAAGCAACCCATCGAACCTATCGACGAAAATACACAGAAAACGTCATTATGAAAGTATTTTAGTTCCCCATACGTCGCGTTATACGAGGATTGACCGAGTCCGTTGGAAATGCGACGGGGGGATGGGTGGGGGGGGGGTGATGGTACAGTGTGATAACCGTACAAGCAGAAGCTAACGATACCTCTTGATAAGAACTCATAACATTCTTAGAAGCCTTGAACGTGTGGTTGATAAAGATTAAGCCCCCCGGAGAGGTGGCACGGGCATGAATAGCCCGAAATAAACGTGTGGAGAGACCAAGCCTATTTATATTTAGCAGGGACACGGACACGGCTAGGGGGACACGGGCACGGCTAGGGGGACACGGGCACGGCCAGGGGGACACGGGCACGGCTAGGGGGACACGGCTAGGGCAGGGCCAGGGGACACGGGCACGGCCAGAGGACACGGGCACGGCTAGGGGGACACGGGCAGGGCCAGGGGACACGGGCACGGCCAGGGGGACACGGACACGGCTAGGGGGACACGGGCAGGGCCAGGGGACACGGGCACGGCCAGGGGGACACGGGCAGGGCCAGGGGGACACGGGCACGGCCAGGGGACACGGGCACGGCTAGGGGGACACGGGCAGGGCCAGGGGACACGGGCAGGGCCAGGGGACACGGGCAGGGCCAGGGGGACACGGGCAGGGCCAGGAGACACAGGCACGGCCAGTGGACACGGGCACGGCCAGGGGACACGGGCAGGACCAGGGGACACGGGCAGGGCCAGGGGGACACGGGCAGGGCCAGGGCCTGGGGACACGGGCACGGCCAGGGGACACTGGCAGGGCCAGGGACACGGGCAGGGCCAGGGGACACGGGCAGGGCCAGGGGACACGGGCAGGGCCAGGGGACACGGGCAGGGCCAGGGGACACGGGCAGGACCAGGGGACACGGGCAGGGCCAGGGGACACGGGCAGGGCCAGGGGACACGGGCACGGCTAGGGGGACACGGGTGGAACCATCAAAGCCTAGATTTCCTACTCCGTAAAAAAAATCCAGCCTTTTTAACCTAAATTCCGGGGTCCCAAGAGCTGAAGCTCGTCGGGTAAAGCCCACACAGGTGAGATGAGACATGGATACTAGTGCCGAGCGTTGCCTCAGGTTTACATGTGCCAAATATGGTTGGTGATAGTTTACCGGAGAGTTAGTGTCCGGTGCTAAGGTATCCGGCCGCTGGAGGCTGTGGGCGGTGAGCCAGACGGAGCGTGCAGGTGCTCGCTAGGCGTGGTATTACCCTCATGTGTGTGTGTGTGTGTGTGTGTGTGTGTGTGTGTGTGTGTGTGTGTGTGTGTGTGTGTGTGTGTGTGTGTGTGTGTGTGTGTGTGTATTCATCTAGATGTGTTTGCGGGGGTTGAGCTTTGCTCTTTCGGCCCGCCTCTCAACTGTCAATCAACTGTTTACTAACTACAATTTTTTTTCCACACCATACACACACACCAGGAAGCAGCCCGTGACAGCTGACTAACTCCCAGGTACCTATTTACTGCTAGGTAACAGGGGCATTCAAGGTGAAAGAAACTTTGACCCTTTGGTTTCTGCCTGGTGCGGGAATCGCCGCGCCACCTCTCAACCGTCAGTCAACAGGTGTATAGGTACCTAATTCCCTTACGAATTTTGTATGATGTTATCATGTCATTGGTTGTATAAAGCGTTTCAGTACTCAGATCCATTGGTTGTCCTAGGTCCTAGAGGCTATACGGACGATTGACATGTGTCCTCCCGACATTAATCTACAGATGAAATTGAAATTGAAATTGAAATAAGTTTATTGAGGTAAAATACACACAAAGGGATGAGGTAGCTCAAGCTATTCTCACCCCGTTCAGTACATCGTGTTAATACATACATAGACACACATCACAAGCAATAAACGTATTACCGAACATTCTGAGAGATAAACATATACATTTCCTAGCTACAGATGAGTTCCTCAGGAGGTCAACCCGTTCTCGCACTTTCTTACAGTCAATATTGACTTATTAAATACGTGCATATGTGACATACTAAACATACTAGTTTACCTTGAAAAGCTTCATAGAAAACACCGGCCGTACCTAACCTTCTTAGTATGTTAAGATAAGCATCTTATTGCTTCGTAATTACAATTATTACTTAACCTATACCAATAATAGGTTAAATAATAATTATAATTACGAAGCAATAAGATGCTTATCTTAACACACTAAGAAGGTTAGGTAAGGTCGGTGTTTTCTATGAAGCTTTTCAAGGTAAACTAGTATGTTTAGTATGTCACATATGCACTTATTTAATAAGTCAATATTGACTATACGAAAGTGCGAGAACGGGTTGGGGAGGTATATATGGCCAACGTCTACTCCCAAGTCTTTCTCATTTTGTCTTATAGTTATATTTGTGTTCCCTTTATTATGGACTGTATAGCCGGGGTCTTCTCACACTTCTTATCCTCATAACTATATATTTTCTGCGTTAATGTTCTGTAGCTCTTTTTCAGGCCACCGCTGATGTCTTGCTCGTTATTGGTATGCATCACAGTCCTCTGTTTCTTCTCGTTAGCTTTGTCCTGTATTTAACCTCCTAATAATCTGCGCATTTTCAACGACCATTGCGAGGAAGGGGTGTGCTTACTCTGGTAGGTCACTGACAGATCAGGAACAGGTTTGGCACGAGTACTTACCCTTGGAGAGAGGCCGCTGGTAACATCTTTTATGTCTCTTCCCTCACTGTGACAGATCTTCTCATCTCATGGTCAACTTTTCATGTCCTCCCTGCATGTTTCACCATTTTGTGCAAGTCACCCATGCGATAATGTGTCGAAGGCTTTCTGTCACTCCAAAACCGTACAATCAATAACCTTTGTCTGTACTGTCTGAAAACGGTCGTCCTGCCACAGAACTCTTTATCAAGTGTGTAAGGCAAGATTTAGCGTCCCTGAAGCCATGCTGACACTGTGGTATTAAGGCTCTTCTTTCCAGATGTATTACAAGCCTCTTTTTTACGGTCTTTTCCGTCACCATGCATGATAGTCCTCCAGCTTTTGGTGAACTGTTATATATCACAGTAAATGGCCAGCACAAGGATTCCGCTCATTCTCTCAGTACCTACGGTGATAACCTGCTTGAGCCCACCGTCTCGGATGTGGTCTGTTCCAGTAGGGTTCTATTTGCTACATTTCTGGTGATCTAAAAATCTTTCACTGCTGCTTTCTTTGACACTTTTCCTCTTGCTCTGTTGCCATGCCTCTTGCTCTGTTGCCATGCCTCTTGCTTTGTTACTATGCCTCTTGCTTTGGCACCATACCTCTTGGTATAAGACAGTTCCTCTCAGTTCAAGAACTTCCCAAAAGCGTTATTGTTAAGACAATAACTCTCCTGTTGAGAGTCCTTCACGCCCTCACCCTTGTTTGATATTCTCAGTGAATGGCTTCTATAATACATTTAGTTTCATCCCCTAGTATCTTTACTGTTGTCTTAAAGATACATGGCAACCTCCCGATGCGTCTGGGAAGCCGCGCGTGGGCTGGGTCTTAACCTTATCTCAAATCTAGTTTTCATATCACCATTCCGTTCCCCCTGTGTGTTTGTGTGTGTGTGTATGGAAAATGTGTATAGGTGGGTGTATATACCTGCCTGGTTTTATGTAAAGCAGTGTAACCTCTAGCATTTGGAGCGTGAAGATAGAGATGAGCGGAGTGCCCTGATATTGGCAGGAAAAGCAATTTGGTCGCTGGTAACCTCATCTCGTGCTTAACGCGGGAGGCGGACTCCAAATTTGGTGAGGTTACCACAATCTTTACACCTGACTGGACTGCTGTATCAGAATTACTGTTGTACCTCAGTATCATCCTTGGAATATATTTTACCGTACCTTGGTTTTCGGTTTGTCGGGGACAGGAAGCATATATATATATATATATATATATATTAT